ATTGGCTTCGCCACGCAAAGCAGAGGAGGACCAGGGAAGAAAATAAATCATCTTGTTAGTTTCTGTCATATGAGAAACAGTTTTCTGGGAATTTTGTTTTTGTTTGTTGCTTTCAGAGTTTATTTTTATTTATATTCATACTTATATACTATATGATGCGCAAATATAAATTGCGAAAATGCTTATTTGACTTTTTATTTTACTCTTTGGTGTTTGGCTATTGAACTTTGTAACTGACTACAGCATATAGTGTGTAACAAATGAGCTTCCTATAAAACTTTGAGGGAAAGAATTATATGAAAGATTTAGCTATTGGTATTTTTTTGTATATTATCAATGTGATGAAGTGAAGAGTACTAAGAGCAATACCAATAATTGAATCATCAGAAGTTCCTTAAAGTTTCAGTGGATGCTCCACGTGACACACTATATGTGAATTGATCGGCTTTATCGCATTCACTATGAAAGCGACATCTATGCGAGTTACAACACACTTCAGAAAATGCATCGTTTTCATTGGAATGTGAGTTACTGAGTGAATCTTAATGTAACTCTCATTTTGAGAATTTCCAATCTCACATTTCATTACTAAAATCATGATTATGCGAGTTTGATTTTGAAGCGAAAGAGTACTTCACATTCAGCTCTTTTAGAGTTTCATAGTGCAACACAATGTGATGCCTGAAGCCGGTCACCAGGGTCCGAAATAGAAGTTCGTGAGATGTCAATGTGAGTCAAATTGCGATTCAAGGCTGTGATCTGAAACATGAATGTGCAGCACTTTGACATCTCTGAGATCGTTTTGTGTTAACTGGGCAGCCTCCTTAAAAAATCAAATTCAAAGTTTTGCTCCTCGATTCATGGGTAATTCCCATCAAGACGCCCAGGAGTTTCTTCGTTATCTTTTAGAAGGATTACATGAAGAGGTTAATATAATTAATGAAAAACCTAAACAAATCTTAACGGAGATTGATGAAAAATTAAGCGACAGCGAAAATGCACAAGAGTCATGGCTCACATATTTGAGGATGCATAACTCTAAGATTGTAAATAATTTCGTTGGCCAATTGAAATCCACGATGAAATGCACACACTGTGGATACTCTTCAGTAACATTTGATCCTTTCTGGGATTTGTCTCTCTCCATACCACAAAGAACCGACCAATTGAGTTTGTGGCAATGTTTGGATTCGTTTACAAGGGAAGAAACTTTGGATGGAAATGAAAAATCAACGTGTTCGAAATGCAAGGAAAGGAGAAAATGCACAAAGTCCCTATCAATCCACAAGTTTCCCTATATTTTAGTAATTCATTTAAAAAGATTCTCTCCAACGGAAAGTAGAGGCAAATTGAATGATGTCATCGAAATTCCTCTAGAAGGATTGGATATGGACAACTTTGCAGCAGAAAATGTGGCTACTTGTTATAATCTATATGCAATTTTAAATCACAGTGGGACTACTAATAGAGGACATTATACAGCATACTGCAGACACCCGTAAACTGGCGCCTGGCACCAATACAACGATTCACAATTGTCACCAATTTCACCAAAGTCACTTGTGAGAGGAGAAGGATGGAACAAAATCGCACCTTTAAGATAACCGAGAGAAAGTTTCTTTGTGCAATTATCATTTATTTTTTGTTAATTTCTTACATGTAACTGTTTCCATATAATTATCATCCAAAACAAACAAATAAGTTAATAAAACAATAGAAATAAAAAAAAAAGTTTGATTTCAATAAGTCATTTTTTTACGTCACTCAAACCTTTTCGGGGGTTTTTGCCTTTTAAATACGCCTTTCCTGTAGGCCAAATTCAATTATATGGATATTCAATTATCCGAACCAACGTCGGTTCCAATTGATCCGGATAAATGGGGATCTCTACTGTATTCCATATTCTCCACGTAAGATGAAATATTTGACTTAGGATGGAGTTCCCAAACTTGATGTTTATTCAAACTGAAAGTTGTTTTTTAAATACTTATATTAACAGCATACAAATTACTAAAACTAAGATATACAATTCTCATTTGCATACAACAAAAAACACATACTGCATAAAAGAGATTGTAATAATGGTGTCTACAAATTACGATTACAGATAAAGGCCGGGACACACCTGTCATACACCCTTCATATCCGACTACCATCATACAGTCGGACGAGTGTCTGAGAGGGAAATGGTTCTTTAGTTCGAATAGAGTAGTTCACATCGTTCCGATACGTAGCCAACCCCGCTCCCACCCGACTCCGTTCATGATCCGATCGTGCAGTCTATTTGTTATCTAGCTGCGGGACGCGTATCGCTTGGAATTTGTATATTTGAGTTTTTTGTTTTCTTTAAATTAAATTTAAAAAATGTCATTAAAACAAGTTATAATATCTCTAACTTCCAGTTACAGGCCTAGGTTTAGTATAGTTTCCATTTATTCTCCCAATTCGAAACATCTTCACATCATCTTGGCCAATGTTAGGGTTTATACATTTAATAATTTCTGTGCAGACTAATTTATCTTCTCGGTTGTTTTAGTTTTCAGGAAGGTAAAAAATAATCACTTTTTTTTTCTTGATTCCCGGTCTGCGATTTCGGCAATCACTTCACTCATTTGGAGGTTCCAGAATCTGCTGCTTGTTCTTCAGGGCTTCAATTTCGTTCTTTAGATCTGCGAGTGATTTAACTATAGCAGGAATCTGCTGTAGGACACAGCTACAATCATTGCATAAAATCCGGAGGACCCTATTTTTCAGTTGCATACACTTGATTTCGGTGGCTGATAACTCAGAGCAGAGTGAATTCGAGTGAACAGCCCTCTTACAGGAATCACACTCGAAATACGCTTCATCTCCCACATCATTCGTACATTTGCAGCACTTTAGTGGCATAATTAGTGGCAAAGTATATCACAAGCTTGTAGTTTCAGAATGATACGCACCAAATGATAAAAACTAGTCACTGTATGCACACACTATAACTCGCCTCTAGTAGGGCACGCCTCTGGTAACTGTAACTCGCCTTTGGTAGGGTACGCCTCTGGTAGGTGCTCTACCCACTTGTATTAACAGATGTGGCTAATTGCAAGCAATTTACGACTTAGTACCAGTACACTGAATCAATTTTAGATATAATTCAGTTTTAACTAACTCAAAACTTGAAATTAATTTTTATTTTGACAAAGTTATTCACGGTACTTTCACTGTCGTTTTGATGAGAAATTTGAAAATTTTCTTCGGGAAAAAACCACAAAATTTTTAGTTTCTGTTGGGACAACTTATTCACAGATGGTAAATAAGCGCCATTTTCTAAACAATGGATCAAAAAAAATTTCGTGTCTTAATTTTATACTGCTTCTTGATGGTAAATAATACCCTTCAAGCGAAGCAAACGCTTGAAAAGTGTTATAAGGACTTGGCTCCATCAGAAACAACAATTAAACGTTGTTTTGCCGACTTCAAACGTGGTCGTAGAGACACCGATGATGCAGAAGGCAGTGGACGTCCAAATGAGGCAGTAACATCAGAAAACGAAAAATCCACAATATCGTTTTGAATAATCGAAAAGTAAAGTTGCGTGAGTTAGCTGTAATGTAAAGCTATCAAAAAAACGTGTTGGCTTTATATTGCATGAGCATTTGAGTATGAGCTCACAATCGCGCGAGCTCACATTCGACCAAAAACAAGAACATCTTCATAATTCTGAGTAAGAAATTTCGCTCGAATGGAGAGGTCTTTGCTGAAACTGATGCCTATTTTGAAAAAAAAAAAGGATCGTTCAAACTGTATAGTACCTACAACATTGTACTGTACAATTTGCTGATGGTACGTCCTTTCTACTGAGTTCTTCTTCTTTGTGAAGGGTTATCTGACCAGGCTAATATTGCAATCTGTTTTCCTTTCCCTTTGCGCAACAAAAGCGATCCTCATCGTCACATGTGATGATCCTCCATGACAACATGAGACGTTCAGGACAGTGGTTGGACACCGATGAGCCACCCAGACACTTCCCAAAGGTGAAAACTCACCAAAAAAAAAGACCATGATTACTTTATGGTGGTCAGCGACTTGTGTGATTTACTAGAACAGTGCCAAACCATCACAGCGGAGTCCTATTGTGGGGAAATCAACGAAATGTACCAAAAATTGCGTCAGTAGCAGCCGGCACTGGTCTGCACATTTAAAAAATCAGCGTCCCAAAATTAAACGAATTGAGCGTCGAAGCACTTCGATAATTTTCTCACCAATAGATTATATCGCAATATGCTAATATAGACAATATAAGGATTTGGCAAAGTTTCAACTTCAATTTGGAAGTCATAATATCTCTACTTTGATGGAGTTGACGTAAGATACTATACGAGCTACGACAAAGTGAATTTATTATATGTTTGTGAAATTTCAGATCAGTATCTAGCAACAAACCCAAGTTCTTGCTTTCTGTAAGTATTTGTAGTAAGACTTGTCCAAACAAATTTGATTTCAATAAGTCATTTTTTTACTCACTCAAACCTTTTCGGGGGTTTTTGTCTATTGGCCAAATTCAATTATCCGGATATTCAATTATCCAGATATTCAATTATCCGAACCAACGGCAGTTCCAATTGATCCGGATAACTGGGGTTCTCTACTGTATTCCCAAGGACCGTTATATAACATAGGATAGCTGGATGAGTACAGATTTTCGCCAGTCGAGTAGCGCTTGGTGACGTCACCGCGGACCGATCTCAAAGCGTTCTCCATTACACATACGGAGCGAATATTACATTTTATATTTTTTGTTTTACTTTTGGGACATTTTTCGTTCATTAGATGCACGAAGAAGTATAAACACAAAAACCGTCACTTAACAACGTGTCTCATCGCGTTCACAGTCACACACCGCGATATTCCAACGGCTACGGGTCCGCGGTGATGTCATAAAGTAGTGGGGACTCGGTTCACGCACGACAACGTTGCTGGTATAGGGATCTGGCTATCCTATGTTATATAACGGTCCTTGCTGTATTCCATTCTCTCCACGTAAGATGAAAATATTTTACTTAGGATAGAGTTCCCAGTTCATTCAAACTGAAAGTTGTTTTTTAAATACTTTTTTTATTTTCATACCACAAAAAGCACATACTGCATAAAACTGATTGTAATAATGGGTGTCTACAAATTACGATTACAGGTAATCAGAGTCTATTGAAAAACTTTAAACATTATTTTAATAAAAAAACGAACTTAGTTTATATTAATCAAACTTTCACAAAAAATAACTTAGGAAAAACATTTTCTTCCAAGTACTTATGAAAATTGTTCCTAAAGAAACACAAATTTGATATATTGTAAGTGATTAGAAAAATTTCTTAATTAAATTAAAACGGGTAGATGTTTAGGGAGAGATTAATTTTTGAGAATGGTGCTGAAAAGGCAATGAGGCAGTGTCTTATTCCGAAACATTGATGTCCACTATTGAGGGGTGACAGTGTTCTATGTGAGTAAAATATCACCTATTTTATACACTATTTGTCTAGCAATCTCTTGATGTTTGATTCGATTCCATAACGAATATTTGAAGTACAAACTCAATGGAACAAAGTATTTTATGTATAATTCAATGTTCATATAAAATTAGTTGTTTCGAAAGTTTTTTTCTTTTGTGTAATTCAATGTTTATATGAGAGTAGTTGTTTTGAGAGGGCTTTTATCTTCCAGTTTTGTGTCTGAAAGTTACTTCTTTGCATGATCAGCACATCTTTGTGAAGAGTTTATTTCGAAATTATTTGCTTTCTTCCTTTATTTGGAAGATTTCCCCATTTTTTATATAATGGTGAAGAAGTAGAAAGGCAAAAACCTTTCTTTCCCAAAAATTATTCTCCCTCAGAAATATAGCACTTTCAATTCAATCTGTTCAATGTTTTGTACCTTCATGATGTGTATAATTCAAGTATAATTATTTAGTTATATTTGCTTCTTTGTTCATAATGTACTTACTATTGAATAATTTTAAATAGTACTCAGTTAAACAGAGCGGTATTAATACTGGACTTTGCCAAGGATTAATGAAGACATTATTGTTAATTTTATAATTTGAGATAATACATCAATTTTATCAACTTCTCAATTTTCGATACCAAAAAACAAATTATCAAAAGGTAACTTTGCACAATGAAATATTTTTTCTGATTTTCATGAGTTTTCGAAGACTTCAAGTAGATTCAACATTGAAATGATTTTTTCTCCCAGTATATGTTCTGCATAAAAAAGCATTATGAATGTGTTTTTTCATGAGTTTTCAAATTACCACTTTGATTAAATGACTTCAAGCAAGTTTTACACTGAAATGGCTTTTCACCAGTATGGGTTCTTTCATGCGATTTCAAATGAGCACTCTGAACAAAGGAGTTTAAGCAGATTTTACACTGGAATGGTTTTTTCCCAGTATGAGTTCTTTCATGACTTTTCAAATTACCACTTTTAGTGAATGATTTCAAGCAGATTTTACACTGGAATAGCTTTTCACCAGTATGGATTCTTTCATGCGATTTCAAATGAGTAGTCTGAAAAAAGGACTTTGAGCAGATTTTACATGGAAAAGGTTTTTTTGCAGAATGAGTTCTTTCATGTCTTTTCAAACTAATGCTTTGAGTGAATGACTTCAAGCAGATTTTACACTGAAATGATTTTTTTCCAGTATGAATTCTATCATGTGTTTTCAAACTACCACTATGAGTGAATAACTTCAAGCAGATTTTACACTGATATGGCTTTTCGCCACTATGGGTTCTTTCATGAGCTTTCAAATTACTATTTCGAATAAATGACTTCAGGCAGATTTTGCACTGAAATGGTTTTTCACCAGTATGCATTTTATTGTGAGCTTTCAAATTACCTCTTTCAACAAATGATTTTAGACATATTTTACATTGGAATGATTTCTCCCCTGTATGAATTTTTTCATGTATTTTCAAATAACTTTTCGAAATGAATGATTTCGAGCAAATTTTGCACTGATACGGTTTCAGAATATGATCGTTTGCAGTGCCAAACTCCTTTTGACATAACGCTGACGACTCCTTTTCATTGAAGCTCTCTTCTTTCTTCTCGATGACTGTTTCATCCTCTATTTTAACGAAAACGTTCCCAGAATCTGTGAAAAAATTACAAATTTATACAAAATTATTTGTTTAAAAATAACATTCATATTTCACTTATTTTCTGTCGATTTTACCCCCCAAAAAAGAGTAACGTTTTGGGGTTCTACTATCCAAATAGTTTATAACCACTAAAAAGTTTGTGAAACAAAGTTATTGAATGTTCTGTAATGTATCTGAACTGGCCATAAATTTATATAAACCAAAAAATTTAAACTTTTCATGAAATGTGGAAATGAATATTTTTTACAAACTATTTACTGGTCATAAAGATTCCAATATATAATTACACAAACTATTTTAATCAAAACCAATCAAACATATTAATAATGAATCAAAATATATTTATTCATATTTTTTCTTTCTTGAGGTTTAATGAATAAAAAATTCAAAATTTGATTAGAAATTTAAAAATATATTGTAAAAAATTCAAGGGGAAATGAATAATCACTACCGAGGAGATTTTTTGTAATTGATTATCATGTCACTATTTCGATTGATAGGTAGAATTGGAATGTCATAAAATGGCATTAAATTAATCTAATGAAAGCTTTTTTCACATACTATTATAACTGAAGCACACTTTCTTGGCGTGTTTTTCGCTTAACAAGTTAGCATCATCAGGAGATGATTGAAACTGAATTTTCAACTAAGTTAGAACCTTTTATTTACAATTGGAGGTGGCATATACATCAAATCCAGAACTCACCGAGACGGATACAGTTCCACCCTCCTCACAGGAATGCAGATCAGAGGAAGATACCTTTGTGAATATTCTACCATTTTTCAATATATAAAGTAGAAATAACAAAGAGAATACCAGGTTGTTCAAAAAATAAGATAAATGTTCAAATGTCGTAGGCTACATACATTCGATCAGCGATTTTTTTCATGTTGGTACACTCGTGTACCAATATAAAACACAGTTTCAGCTGTTTAGCATGTTTAGTTTGTTGGTGAGAGGCATACAAGTTACAAGTGTTTTGCATGTTCGGCAATTTTCTGCTATGGAAAAAAAATGATCAAAGAATCTGAGTCAAATTTTTGTAAAAAATAGAATTAAGTGCTCAAAAACACTTGAATATCAACTGTTAGAAGAATCAAAAAGCATAAAAAATTATGGGAATGTTCATTCCAGTGTCGTTATCATGGCAACAAAAACTTAGCAATAAAATTGAAACCAATAAATTGATGGATGGAGCCGTTACTACGCGGCAGGAAATCATAATGAATAAAAGAGAATTGAAACTTTCTATGTGTGACCCTGGTAAGCTGGTCTGACTGGTCACTGTCAACTAAGGAAACACCTCCATAATATGGGGCTGGTGGACACACCTCTATGCAGGATGTGTGAACAGGAAGATGAGACTGTCAGGCATGTCCTGTGCGAGTGCCCGGAGTTATCGTCAACAAGAGAGTGTGTGTTCGGCGAGTCTTGGCCTACACCTGTCGATATAAAGGAGATGTCTCCCACCTTCCTGGAAAGGACAGGATGGACTATGATCTAGGAGGACAACTCCTCGGGAGGATGTACAATGGGTCACATGTGGCCTAAGTACTGTGGGCTTACACTCACTCTCCCTACTCTACAGATACAGATAGGGTCTAGATTACAACAATGGAATTTACTAGCCCCTAAAATCAAAGTTACAATATTTAGGAACCGTAACCATGAGCTATCCTCGTTTTTTACTATGCAGGATAAAATGTGTGTTTGTGTAAATCCAAATGGTATGAGGGAAAAATTAGGATTTGCACATAACCCGGACGAATGGCGTTTATTTATAGATTCATCTAAAACAGGGCTCCTGATCGAGAAGGAATTCTTTCAATAATAATAATAATAATTTTTATTGGTCTCAAGAAACATAAAGTTTGTAGACAGGTCAGTAGAAAAATACATTTAAAAATTTATATAAGGTCATACATTAAAATTGGTTAATGATAAAAAAATAGAAGGTATAACGCAATAGAAAAGCTAAATAATACATAAAAACAATGGCATTATACATTATAAATATATAAAGTAAGTATATAGATAATGATGAACAGACCTCAGAAACCTGCCTACACCTCAATGTTGTGTATATTTTGGGGGATTCTGTTATAGAATGCCTCATACAATGCCTTAGTGTGAATGGGATAAGCAAAAGATATACACTGGTGGTGCAGTGAACAACTTATTTGACCTAAAAATTACCCTACATGAATCTCTAGAATTTTTATTGAAAAGTACTCGTACCACTTTTTTTTGACACAGAAAAACTCTACATAATTCATTACTTGAACCCCAAACTGTTATTCCTAGCCTAATGATTGAGTAGAAATTTGCATAATACACATGTATGTCACTTATTCTAAATGCAATAAGTTATAATACGTAGAAGTGGCAAATATGTGGTGTCCTAAAAGTCATAGGACTATTATTAGGTCTTCAGAGCGGATTTACGAAGTTTTACTGTTTTCTTTGCCTTTGGAACAGTAGAGCAACACAGAGCCATTATCAAGTAAAAGAATGACTACCCAGAGATAAATATCTTCCAGGTGTGTTTGCTTGACCTGGAAGAATATACCTCTTGTTAATCCCAAAAACGTTTTGTTACCTCCATTACACATCAAACTGGTGTTAATGAAAAATTTTGTAAAAACATTAGACAAAGGTGATGCGTTTGAATATCTTAAACACGTTTTTCCAAAATTAAGTGATGCAAAGCTCAAGGAAGGTATATTTGTTGGACCACAAATTAGAAAACTAAGTGATCAACAGTTTGATCAAAAATTATGTAATGTTGAAATATCTGCGTGGACTTCTTTCAAAAGAATTGTTTCCGAGTTTTTGGGGAACAAGAAAGTAGAAAATTACGAAACACTTGTAGAAGAACTACTTAACAACTACTATAATAATAATAATAATAATAGCCTTTATTACCCAACAGTTAAAAACCATTTACAGGGTTAACTAAGTATTTCAAAAAAGTAAATGAAATGAAATACTGAGATGCAGTGTAAACAATATATTCTAGGGAATCATAAATTGATATCACACAAATTTGAAATTATTGCAAATGCTAACGATAGGTGACTTGAGATACAAATTGGTTCTAGACAGTCGGCTGTAAAAAGTTTTTGTACTTTTAGTTCTAAAATGAGGCACACAGAAATTTATAAAAGATAACACCTCATAGCATCCACATTGTTGTGCAGTGATTTATACATAAAAATTGTTCCAGCACGTTTTCTGCATAATTCAAGACTTTTAATATTGAATGTCATGGTAAGAGATTCACATGGAATACCTCTATCAGGATAGATAACATAAGATTTTAAGTAAATAAACTTTAGGAAACGACGTTGAACTTTTTCAAACAATGTATAATAGCAATTGTAGAATGGAGACCTTAAAACAGAGCCATATTCTAATGTTGACCTTAAACTCTCAATGCTTCACTTACTTTCGATCTAATGTGGTTGGAAAAAGACAAATTTTGAACAAAATATACACCAAGATCTATGAGTTACTTTGTGACAGTGAAATGGTATCTACTCGATAATTGTACTCGATGACCAACATTTTCCTACTATAAGACACTACTTTACATTTGGATGCATTGAGATATAGTTTGTTAACTTCACACCAAGTCTGTTTATTTCAGAATGGGATGTCGCATATCTCTCAAAATCCATTTATTGCACTCCCGTTCGAATTTTTTCCCAGAAAATTTGGGTGCTGTCAATGACGAACTAGGGGAAAGGTTCCACTAAGACATACTGACAATGGGATGCAGCAATGATGGGGGATTATTGTTGATTCCTTAATGAGGGAAAACGATGAAACATATAAACAAAAGTTAACATTTTAAAAAAAGTTAGGCACAAAAGACTTCATCTGAATGTTTTTCTTGTGTTTTGTAAATAAAGTCTCAAAATATATGGTTTTTTTCTTGTTTTGATCTCATATTTCCCTATATGTGAAAATTTTTGTATAAAATAAAAATAACTACAACTAAAAATCTAAACGTGATGGAAAATTGTTGATGTTGTAGTTACAGTCAGGATGCTTCAAACTCTCATGCATAGCCATTATGATATTAATCGCAATTTTTTCTTATTTATTGGCTAGTGTAATTAAACAAACTATTTTGATTCATACCAATCAAACAGATTGGTAATAAATCAAAGTGTATTTATTCATAATATTTTTTCCTTCTAGAGGTTTTATGAATGAAAAATTCAGATTAGAGATTTGAGAATAAATTGTAAAAAAATTCAAGGGAAAATTAATTATTAATACTGAGGAGATTTTTTGTAATTGATTATTATGTCACTATTTGGATTGATAGGTCTGGCATGAAATGATTCTAATGAAAGTTTTTTCACACACTATAACTAGAGCACTCTCTCTGCGTGCGTTTCGCTAAATAAGTTACAATCATCAGGAGACGTTTAAAACTAAATCTTTCAACTAAGTTAGAGCCTTTTATATACAACTGGATGTACCGAATACAGCAAATTCAGAACTAGACTGACCGAGACGGATCAACAGGTGTACTTTTCTCACAGGAATGCAGATCAGAGAAAGATACCTTTGTGAATATTATATTATTTTTCAATACACAAAGTATGAATCACAAAGAGAATACGAATGTGTGAACTGTTGACAGTGGCATACGCTGATTGTACTCTTGAGTCAGAAAAATACAAAGGTACACAATAGAGGTGTTAGGGTATGGGGCGGTCACGCGAGGCCTACTTACTCGTAAATTCCCGAAATTTAGCGAAAAAATCGCTAAATTAGAATGGAACACAGTGTTCAAATCGAAGCACTGCACTGCATCCATTTAATTTTACCGGAAACCCCCGACCATCCAGAAAAACATTATCTATCTCTTTTTTACGTTTAAATTAGAGAGAGTTCATGTTATTTTTGATGAAGCGGAACACACTCAGCTCATTCTCATTCATTACATCGGTACACACACTTAAAACAGTTATTCCAATTATTTTAAAACAAAAAGATGCAGTAATCAGACGGTTCATGCCTTTTTTGCCTGATCAGAATGTGGCTACCCCTGTTTTTGTTTTAAATTTTATCAAAGATCGCAACTTACAAGATGGATAGCAATTCGCATATTATTAACTATACCTGCAACAGTTGCTAATGAGGAGAGGAGATTTTCTAAGTAAGTAAGTAAGGTAATTTCATTATATCTTTTTCCTTTTTTTTATATAGGTTTGAATTTCCGTTGCAGGGTGAGATGTGATTCTGAAGATTTTGTCAGTTGAGATGTAATGAAAATATCAACTGGTAGAGAAATCAAAAAGCATAAAAATTACGGGAATGTTCATTCCGGTGTGGGTATTATAGCAACAAAAATTTAGAATAAAATTGAAACCACCTGATTATATTGAATGAGATTGGAAAATCCTGAATGCAAAACAATGGGTTTTGAATCACAAGTCATACCTTACCCTGTATTTCAAAGAACTTATTTTGAGGGCCTTCACTTATTTCTTCAATACATTTTTCTGATTTGGGTTCAAGGTAAACATCAATGACACCTTCACTTCTAATCTGATCTATATCATATTTTTCTTCGAGGTTATGGGTAACCATTTCAATACCAAACATATCACATTTTCCAGATTCACTGACCATTTCAGTTTCACATTTCATATCTGTTTCAAAAACCACTTCATCCTTAACAGATTCAAGCTCTCTCTTAACCTGTATTTCAAGGAACTTATTTTGAGAGCCTTCACTTATTTTTCCTATACAGTTTTCTGATATGGGTTCATTGTAAACATCAATGACACCTTCACTTTTAATCTGATCTATATCATATTTTTCTTTGAGGTTATGGGTAACCATTTCAATACCAAACATATCATATTTTCCAGATTCACTGACCATTTCAGTTTCACATTTTATATCTGTTTCAAAAACCACTTCATCCTCAACAGATTCAAGCTCTTTCTTAACCTGTATTTCAAGGAACTTATTTTGAGGGCCTTCACTTATTTTTTCTATACATTTTTCTGATATGGGTTCATAGTAAACATCAAGGACACTTTCACTTTTAATTTTATCTATATAACATTTTTCTTCGAGGTTATGGGTAACAATTTCACCACCAAACAAATCATATTTTCCAGATTCACTGACCATTTCAGTTTCACATTTCATGATATTTGTTTCAAAAACCACTTCATCGTCAACAAATTTAAGCTCTCTATTAATGTTGTCTTCAGGTTCGGAGAGAGCTTTATTCATAAGTGATAATCTTCTTTTCTTAACAGCATACATTCTCTCCTGTGGTGATGAAACATTACGTTTTTGGCATTGAAATTTATGAGGCATAACTCCTTTATTTAAGAGTAATTTAACTTTTTCGCCTTGTTCCTTCATGAGCTTGTATTTAATATAATTTACTGTATCTTCCTTGATCTGAAATAAACAAAACACTTGGTGAAGCATCTTGGGATACCTAAGTAGAAATAATAAATAACTTTAAATATAGGTTCATAGAAAATAGTTTTTTTAAGTCTAAGCAAAGCTTAGATGAAGAATCTTCTAAGATGTTATGACATACGTAAATAAGGTTATGACCTTATAGAAAGTTCTGTAACTATATGATGTTATTTGTCCAAATATAATATACTTACATTAAAATGATCTTCACAACAATGTTGACGCGATATTGGAGATACATTATCCCTTCGCATAACCTTACACCATTGTTTACGTATGTTTGGATCTCTTGGAACAGCAAAGAAAACTTTATCTGGTGTACTTTTTATAGTGTTCGGACACATTGGTACCATGCAATATCTGTAAAATGGCTTTTTTTCTTTTTCCATGATTATTATTACGCGATATTTAAACTAAAACACCTTGTTAACTATCAAACTAACTCTCAATGCAAACAATAAACTGACAGGACGTGCCCTATGACGTCACACCTCAAGCGCGCGAGAAATAGGAGCGTTTGAACTTGTCAAATTAAACCAATATTTTTAAGATTTTATGTAGAAAAACTTACTACTCTTACAGCTATGTTTATTTTTTTTTCTATATCAAAATGAAGTGAATATTGATTAAAAAAAATACAAAAATTGCCTGTATATTCCCTATTCTTCTACAAACATCGATAGCCATTATCTTTGAATACATACGATATGTTTTCAATGAACGACAAATTTCAATTCACTTGTCAATGTTGTCGTGTCTACGAGTCTTTAACTGGTAGATATACAAAAGATATTTTAGCATTTTATCGGTTTAAACCTGAGTTCAAATATAAGCTTAAGCCCAAGTTTAAACTAAACTATAAACGAGACCTATACAACAGGCTCATTCAGGTTAATTTAGTTTTTTATCGAAAATTATATATTATAAAAGTAAATCATCTCCCAAGTATCCCACAAAATTTTCCGGTTTTTATGTCAATTAACAACTGACCAAGAGCAATTGAAAATGTGATATCGCCCGCGGTACGTCCTGACGTCACATCAGGCAGCAAGCTTCGAGTGGTGGCCACCGGGCCTGTAGTTGGAGATTATGAATCGCTGCCATCGTCGGATTTTGTTTCATTTGCTGACTGATTTGAAAACACAGTGTTACATATTCACGCAGTTGATACTCTGCAGTAAACAACACACAACTTGCTCTCTACAGCTTCAGTACACGTATGTATTTCGCTTATTCGCCAGCACAGACGTCCTGGCAACGTCAAGTTTGACCACGCCCCGTTTCGGTGAACGCCACATTCAACTATTAATTTGAAGGGGAAGATAAAGAGTGAAAATTCAGATTTTTGCAGATGTACTATTTGAAACATAAAGTTTCAAATAATGAAATAAAAAAAATTGGTAAATGATCACACTGGCCCTTAGGTGTTTTCTGGCGCTCATTTATGCACCCTTTGTGGTCTATGATTACAGTTTACTGTAATGACTGCTTGCGCAATCTGAAACGGCGTTGATCTCTGCTAATCAAGTTAGCCATAAATCCCTCATTTTACCCCAAACTTTTACAGGTATGAGTAGATGCACCAGGGTTTTTAGATATCTTAGACAAAACACATTTTAGTTTGAAACAAAGTGTTTGACAGACTTTCTTGTTCTGACCATTGCAGTGGTGTCAATGAGATCTCATAGAACTATAAAATTATATATGTCAAAGAGTGAAGGTGAAAAGTTTTCTTTATGGAATTATTAATTGTTATCAAATTTATTATCTTTATTTAAACAAAGGAGATAAGTATGAATCAGGCTTAGACTTTAACCGTCTGTCCTGGAATTAATATTATTTGAATTTTTAAATATATGACACATTTCCAAGAAAGTTCGTTTTCGANCGAGGAGGTAGTTTTTTCATTATTTATTTATTTATTTTGATTTTTTTATTTTTCACGTCAATAGGGATTTTATTATTCACTTATGGTAAGCTATGGTTTCGCTGATTAACTACTTAGTTGAATCTATATATATAAAAGAAAGTGGTGTTGAATAACATGAAGACTTGCAGTGACATGCTTATTGAATTTTTTTAAATTTTATTCTCATGATCGAAATCAATGAATTAACACTAAGATTTCAATGAGGGCGAATGTTTGATCTATATTCATTATTTTTAAGGAGAATATGTCTATAAATTGACAGTTTTAAATTATTTTTTTCAGCACCTTAATTTTGTTGATGCGACCTCGGGGATGTCTTTGGTTTCCTACTTCTCCATTAATATATAAATATAAATTTGTATGCCTCGCTCCACCCTCAGGTCGCTCACTATTGCAATTTGTAGGAAATTGAACTGTAATCTCTACTGAACCAGGTTTTAATCATCAACATCAAACGATACATTCAATGTATTAACAATAACATAACGCACTTGATCAACAACCATTTCCACGGAATCATTAAAAACAAGATCTATCGAATGAAGTGAAGATGGATTTCTTCAACACTCACCCTACGAGGACGAGGAGAGATTCCCAAGGTAATTATATTGCAGAGCAAAGTATCAACACTTATATACAGCGTGACTCACGGTCGATATGGTAGGTTAGACGTTTCTGGAAAACGCAAAGCATGATTTTTCTGAAAATTTCACCTCTCACATTTCCTTACCTGTTCTATCGATCTAAAATATTTTCAGCATTGCGGCGTTGCCACTTCCATCAAAAAGTCCTAGCAACTTTATTTTTTTAA